AAGCCCTGCCATTAACAAATGTCAGTAAATGTCCTGCATAACCCGTTATCGATTGTACCCCATTCAACTTTTGCATTCCAAGACATACGTGTTCTTGCAAGATTCTCACACATATAGGATGCCTGAATCGTTGATTCACTCCAATTTGTAAGCATTCTACTACAAAATTAATAAAATTTGTATCTGCTGAATATATACCAAACCAAGCATTCAGACAACTAATTTCATTTGAAAGATAGAGAACATCCACTTGAAGATCAGTACATTATGTTGTTAAATAATAGAAATTATCCGCGGATGAACATGTAACATTTTTAACATCAACTATTTGTGATCGTGAAAATGCACGCGAGTAGGCAAAGTGTAACACGTAGTTGTTCGGCCACTAGTTGTGCACTTGGTTGTCGTTGACAGTGGTGATGTAGAGGAAGTTGCTATAAAAGGTAAGAAAAAAGATTCAGTGGCAGGTTACTCTCGTCCTTTAGTGTGCCAATTAGGTACTTGAAAAACTCAAAACTCACACTGTTTTGGTGGACAAATTTCTGTTGCATGAATGGTAACTAATAACATATTAATCCGTCACATCGGGTATTATTTAAACATATTGTTCCATCAATTGCACATGTATAATCATTCCCGCCGCATGGCATCAATGTCGTACATGATACAACAACAATTGTACGAAAACATTATTAGAAAAATTTAGAAAAAGAATATCATATTATGCGGTACTGTTAAATACCTTTCTTAGTTTGAAAGAATCTCTTTAGTTCTTTTTCACTCGCGATCGACTGTCGTTTTTGTTCACTATATCGAAAATTTTCAATAAAAGAGAATAATACTTTTTACTTCTTTACACTTTTTGATCGAAAAGGGATTATTTCTACTGATTATTTCTTTTTTGTTCCATATTCAAGATCTTTCGTTCTTTTTTTGTCACTTAATACCCACTCTAATATTATTATACGCTGCAAAAGAAATGGAAAAAATGTCGAGCATTATTTGGGCATGTTCCTGATGCGCTGATGATTTAATTGTTTTTCTGTTCGAAAGAGCAAAGTCTGAACTTCAGAGAACATAGAAAACAAAATTTTTTGTAATTGAGTTTGAGGAGGAGAAAAAATATAAATATCAAACGTCACCTAAAATGCTCTTGTAAAGCATTTTTTTCTGTAATTTTTCACTGCAAACTGAGGAGAAAACCCTTTTTGAAAACTAAATAGATGAGAATGTCGTTTGCGCAAAACTGTATTGATTCATCTACTGTAGAGAAGTTCTCATTAACTCCTTAATAGTAAAAAAAACGTATTACAAAAGCAGATTTGGTAGAAAACTGTACTATTCATGAAAGAGGCACGACATTTAGGACTCAAGATGTGTCAGCAAAAATTAAAACTAATGTGACCTTGCAGGAAACTGAATGCTGCTTCAGAAAATGTGTTTTAGCAAAAGGATAAAGTTCATTTAGTATATGAAAATTATTAAATCAGCTCTTTTTCTAAAAGCAAATGACAAACTCACGAATTTTTAATTGAAAAGTAGATCGAAAGATAATTTATCATATCCGATTCGGAAGAGTAATAAAAATACTTCTGGTTTCTATAATTATATAATTTCAAACTTACTCGGCTATAGTGAAAAAATACTTTTGATGAGAGGGATATATTTCAAGAGAGTGAAAGTTGCCAGAGTTTTTTGGGTGACGTTTCGTATTTAGATTTCTTCCTACTGAAACTCTATTACAAAAAATTTTGTTTTCTATGTTCTCTGAAGTTCAGACTTTGCTCTTTCTAACGGAAAAACAATTAAATTTTCAGCCCATCAGGAACATGCACAAATAATGGTCGACATTTTTTCCACTTCTTTTGCATCGTATAATAAAGATGTTGTGCTGTAAACGACATGTGCGTGCGATAGCTTGCTTCCATGTCCTCTTCTCACTCTGCTTTTTGACAGACTATATTTATATATGGCAATTTATTTGTTTTTCAGTTGCTTTTTCAGGACGTTAGAAATCAATTCCTTCAAAAATACCGTAATACTCCAGTGCAGTTTAAATATAATTTGCAGATTTAAAACTGGAAAAGTGAAGTATACAGCATCTTGCCATATACTATAGAATAATTAGTGCTGTTCAGCTATTATTGTTCTATTATTTTCTTTCTATAATAACAGTATATAGGTCAAAGATTATTGATTATACTTCGCTTTACTGAAATGAACATGAACTACGATCAAATCAAGGGATATTCGTGCATCAGTTACGAGAACCCACGACGTGGTCGAATATTAGCGTATCTTTCATGGTCTCATTAGATAAACCGCTCAGAGCAATCCATAAATGCAAATTTTCAGATCATAGGATCTACAAACAAGTGAGTTATAGACTTTTTACAAAAAGACCCATAATAAAATCAAAAACATAGACTTTGGTTGTATTTTGGTTCTTCTGTTCGATTCTGTACTTTAAGATTCTTCAACAAGCAGTGAAAAGCCATATCCCAGTCGGGATATATATTCCGATCGAGCTATATATTCCAATTGGGATATAAAAATGTATCCTGATCGGGATATTATAGCCTAATCGGGATATAGTTTCCTTACATTAGGGCCATAGTTTAAAACCGCCCAAAATTAATTAATGTGACACTTGTAGCGCAAAGATGATGTAGAACACAACATATTCAGCCGCCAGAACTTGAATGATGAAAATGCTTCGGTATTTTTAAAACTTTAAACTTTTGAACGCAATTTACGCATTCGAAAATCTTTTTTGTAAACACACCGTGGTTCGTCGTCGCTGAGCGGGCGACGAATCACGGTGGACGAGTGTGACTTTAACTGAATATTTCACTGGATGTAGCTATCTTATGTATGCTCAGAGTAAGAGTATCAAGATATTTCGAGAAAGTGTTAAAAATAGCTAGTAAAAAAAGTAAAATATTCTGATCGGGATATAGAATATACACCTCGAGAATTATTTAAAAAAAGGTTGCTGATCGGAAAAAGACTTGGGTGCAAGGAAAAGAGAATCTGATGCAGTTTTTTACGCCCTTTTCGGCGATATGGTCAAAATTTTCCGCGAACATCATCATTTTCCCGCTGATGAATTTTATTTAAAAAGAAACTATTGGACTATAAGTTTTTTGACTATATCCCGATCGGGATATATTTTGATTCAAAATGGGATATATATCTCGATCGAGATTTAGAGCATGAGACTCTACTGACAAGTGAATTTTGCCGAAAGCGTTAAAAGTGCATCAGAGCATTATTTCAAATCGAGAGTTTATTTCATTCATTACTTAGTCAAAAGTAATTATCTTCTTCCTCTCAATCAAGTGATGCTGGTCTGATACAGTATTCAAAGTCTACTAATAAATGCTCGTGTTTTATTGTATCCTCAACGAAGAGCATGATCTAAGAAAAAACTTGGTCTAACTGGAAGTGTGGCTAGCTAACAATAAGAGCATTTTTATATAGAATCGAGTAGTCATTTTATTTTTGTTCGTTTATATCAGTAAACATGACCACACACTACCAGACGCTACATTTGTTTACTCGACTATTTCCTTGACCCGGTTTGCAGGAAAACACGCGATCGAATTCGTCAAAGTTCGACAATGGACCAAGAACTCTAAAAACAGACACGCAAATGCTGTAATCATTTTCCGATATAAAAGTGAATAAAAGTACCTAAACTGTGGGAGAGAGTGAACATCGTGTAAAACCTTATTCAAGGCAATTGCGTCGGTCATTTTGGCACACCATCCATGAGCATAGCCGATAAAGAACATTTGTTCAGCTGAATATTTCCTTAGACCCGGCAATCTCTTGTCCACATTTTGATTGGCTTTTGCCCAGTTTTGATAAGCCTACAATGAAGACATACATTGTTACGATCTAGAGCCAATAGGTGAATAAAAATAGATTTCTGTGCGGCAGCAGTCCTTTATTTAATAATTTAAATTTATCCTGACGGTTCGACGTAAAATATAGACTATTTTCAATGAGAAACTAGACAAATTTTCATGTTTACTTTTGAAAATGATTCAATGAAGTGTCGAAATGTCAAGATAAATTTAAATTATTAAATAAATGACTGCCGCTGTACACAAATCTATTTTGAAGACATATATCGTAATTGATGCACTGGAAAAGTACTCGATGGCCAGTTATGTCTACAGAAGCGAACAGATTTCACTAGTAATACGATACTGGACCAGTACTTACAGGTATGCATTTGCAGTTAGCATTAGTCATTCCAGTACATGGTCTGTGATTTTTTCAGTACTCTGCAGTACTAAAGGTACTGATGCAGTCTGGTATCGAGTAAATTACTAGGCAAGTTCTGTCTTTTGTACTTGCTGAATACTGGTGATCCAATACAGCGACTAGAGCATCTTTCGTTGAGACGTTGATGGACAAAGATGCATTTCTAAAGAATAATTACCCGATGAACTTACGTGAAAGGAGCTTTTGATTCCACCATTATCGGCAATATTTTCTCCTTGTGTTTGGTCGCCATTTAACTAAAAACAATCAATAGACATGATTGAGACAAGCAACTAGAAAAAAGAGACCTTCTTGTTGATCTGAGCCACTGTATAGTTGCTGTACTGTTCGATAATACACTGTTTTTTTTCGTTAAACTTGTTGATTGTGTCATTCGACCACCAAGGACTTCTGTTTCCGTCTTGATTATATTGACGACCGTCGTCATCAAATCCATGTGTAATCTCATGTCCGATGACCATTCCAATACCTGAACCACAGAGCAGTTTCTATCAGCGCTCAGAAAATCTTTTTGTACATGACAATTCGGATGAATACCTACCACCATAGTTCAGATATCTAAAAGATTACAGTGATGACGCAGGTTTCAAAGCAAAAAGACGAAAATTTACTTGGGTGCATCTTTGTTAAAGTAAGGCATTTGTAGAATGCCGGCTGGAAAAGCTGTAGAAAGAGAAAAGTTTGTCACGATGTTTAGTAAAGAATCAAACATTACAAATGGCATTTGTTGACGGTTCATAGAAGGCATTTACAACAGTGGGAGCAAGACTGCCCCATGCTCGGTGATCGACGGGTTCGCGAAGGGTTCGGAAATCTTCTCTTGCTTTGACTTGTTGCATTATAAGAACATTGTGAAGGTATGACATACCGAAGTTATACTAAGACGATAGAGGCTCGATTTACAGAAGGAAATCTTCACTGTCAAATGATGTTCTCACCTCGGCATACATATTCTCGAGTATTGTGTTATTATCACTGGCTAAATAGGTGGGATAGCCGATATTCTCGTAAATTGCATCAGCCTATGTGAAACACAATACATTGATCCAGGGTCTTCTATTTTCTTCGTTCTCTTACTTTTTTAACAGCCGCGCTTCTCGAATCATCATCCATCCAAGGAGCATCCTGAAGCATTTTTTTCATTGCACTTCGAATATTGCCAATCATTTCGACTGACTAAAAACAAATTATTGATCATGCAAGGGAGAAACAGAAATAAAATTCATTGAAAAACCTGATTGCGAGCATTTTCATCGAAATACTGTTTAATATAGAGTTTTGAAACAGCAAAACCCATATTGTCATTGACATATTCGGCACATGTGGTTGAGCGTGATGGTTCAGCGCTGGTGCCTTGAAATACTCGGTCGAATTGTTCTCTAGTGCTTCGAATTCGTCGTGGCATACTGCCGGCTTGATTCATCATAAAACGCCAGATCAGATAGTTTTGAATGACTCGTGGGTCTGTTTCGACGAAATATTCGATGATGGAAGAAATATTCACTAAATAGGCGATTTCGCTCACAGATACAATGTCAACATCAGCCAGAGTCACGTTGCCCAGACGATACGATTGACGAAGGTAAGTCGTAAAGTCAAACTATATTAATACTCGTTGAAGATCAATTGGAAAACAGAGAGAAAAACTCACGCAGGCTTCCAGTTTAGTCGCAAGATCACCAACTGTAGTTCGAACAGTTTCATTGTCTCGCATTCGTTGATCTGTATTGGACCAATAATACTATATTAAACAAATATTATAAAACAGCGAAAACACAAATGAATAAGTAAAATTACCGCAGAAATATTCTTTTCAAACGAGTATATACTATTGACATCTTCTTCAATCTTTGATGTATCGTTTGTCAACAGTGTAGCCAAGTCTCGCATGAATTGACGGTAGGCTTTGGTTACTGCAGTTTCATTGGCGTAGTAGTCGCGTTCTTGTAAACCGAGGCTACCTTGTCCGATCTAGAACATTTATATATTTACTTTAACAGGAGTCGATCATTTTCTCTAATCGTTCAATTTGTATAACTGAACTGCTCAACAGTAGAGTGTCCTTTATTTTGTTGATTTTCTAGCAGTTCCTTACTTCAATATCATAGGCCGATGAATTTTGTTGGTTGGTGGCTGTATCTATTCTATAGATGTTCTCATTATTGTACATGCGCAGTTTGAGTAAAAGATCTGTCAAATTAAAGTTGGAAGCATTCCACGAGGCACCTTGCAGAATGGGCCATCCACCTAATTCCATGACTACTGAGAGAACTGGCTGAACGTCATCTGCCTCAATAATCGATTCGTTTATACATGAGTTGTATAAACTACGAGCATTCGTGATGGCCTTGGGCTCAGCAGTTCCATCGGGTGGTGGGGATGATAGGAGATCTGTAAAAAGAGAGCAGTGACTTTGGAGACCGGTAAGTAAATGAAAAAGCATACCGATTATGTTTAAATCTAATTGTACATCCAGTATGCTGAACGTGTTTTGAACGCCGGCTAAAAAACATTTCAACATTTCTTCAACTTTGTTCCACCGTCCCACTCGCTAGACTATATTTGTCAAAACGATGAGAACTTACTGTCTTCAGGTATTCGAGCATTCTTCAGCCATGTTCCACAAGCAAACTGATAAAAATCTTCGCATGGTTCTACCGATTCATCAATGGAATCGAGTAGATAATTGGCTACAAATAATCGAGTATTATGTATGATTGCTTAGAGGTTGATATATACCTGCTTTGACGCAGTAGGGCGTCAAACACAAATCATCGTCAACTGAAATCAAGTCAAATTATTTGTTAGTTTCAGTCAAGGCACAAGTTAAAAGATAATACCTTCCGTTTTCTTTTTGCTCTTTTCAATGCCAAAGAGAACGGCCAAAGCGATTGTGGAAGCTAGGAGAATAACGAGGAGAATACCAAGAATAGTGATGGCTCGATGGGAAGTCTTTGAATGACGTTCAATTAATGGGTCACTGCAAATAAATAAAGTTAGCTTCGACGGAGATCTAACGTCAATCGTAAGACTACAGCCTTTGGCCTATTATTTCATTTTTGAAAGTGGAGATTCATTTTTCTGAAAAGGCGATAATACTTACTTTATTCGATCGGACATGCTTGAAATCGAATGTCAATTCAAGTCGATCTACAAAGAACTTCAACTGCTCAACTGTATTTAATATAAAAAAGCACCTTCGGCCTAGAGGCAGAGCACACACATATTGATAAAGTCAACTTTCTGTCTTCACACGCGCACAGCAGTAAAACTGCTTGTGCGATGATAAAATATAAAAAAGAGAATACCTTCATTGTCATCATCATCATGCAACTTCTACGAACGATAAGATATCTTTGACTCATCACTATTCTCTCTTCACTCTGCTACCGTCAATATCAAATATTACTTTTAGATATTGTAGAAGTGAAAAAACGACAATAGAAGTGACGAATATTTTGCTTGCTTACATTTTTCAATCGATGTAGAAACTCACCATCGTCTGTGACGAACGCGAAGGAAACTTCAGTAGCGGCTACAAATTATATCGCAATACAAGAACTTGTCGGAATAACTGAAAATGGTTGCAGAAAGACCAGTTACTGAGCTTCTACAATATCTCAGAATAATATTTGATATTGATGGTAGCAGAGTGAAGGGAGAATAGTAATGAGTCAAAGATATCTTATCATTCGTAGAAGTTGCATGATGATGGTGACAATGAAGGTATTCTCTTTTTTATATTTAATCATCGCACAAGCTGTTTTACTGCTGTGCATATGTGACGACAGAAAGTTGACTTTATCATGTGCTGTGTGCTGTACCTCTAGGCCGAAGGTGCTTTTTTATATTATATTTAAAACTTACTAACCTGATTTTTATTTTTGGATATTCATTATTCAGTTTATTTTATAGATCTTTTTGTAAATGTTGCTCTCTTATTGTAACCTTGATAAAGGTGTCAAGTAGACACTAAAAAGTTGCTGTAGTGAAGAAAATAGTTAATAAATAAATGAAAATCTAAATAATTATGTTCCATTAGTACCAAATAAAAATACTTATAATTACAGACTTCTTACGAGGATGGGAATGAATTGTCTAATGAGGGAACCTCTCGATGTGGTTAAGCGCTTTTTAGCCGATATTTTGCCCACACATAGGGGATCTCTAGACTAGAGTAACCCTAAGTTGGTTCGGTTGTCTGAGCTTTTGAAGTCGAGTTATGTGTTTTTCGCATTTTATTGAAATAAACGCAACAGGCTCACTGAATCCATAAGATATCTATCTCGGTATAAAGAAGTATCAGCGCAAAAAACGACATATACCTCCTCTAATAGAACTCAGCGAGCTGAATCAAATGGCAAAAAACGCAGCTCTCCGTCTCTATAGAAAAAATGGTTATGCCTAATTTATCCTTTCAGCGGAAATCACTGCTTTCTAGAGGATTTGACGTAATTTGTAAAACTTGTCCAAACTGTGATCCTTAACGCAGAACATTGAATTTAGTCTCAAATGAAAGAGTTCGTTGAGTTCTATGTATATCCGTCAAAAAAAATCTATGTACCATCACAGGGTCGGAAAAAACAGATTTCTGAAAATCCTGGTTTTTCGGAAAACCTAGAGATCTTGAAATTCTTTTGGAAAATTTTTCAATCACACCAGTTAACAACCCGTGCAATTTTGGACAAAGTGAGTGCAATGAATGCAAACAACCAAGTTTGCATGAGTCGAAAGCTTCCATTTTTGAAATAAAAAAATCAATGATATCCGTTCGTAGATTTAACCTGACACGCTTTAGAGTACGAAATTTATTTTACAGGAAATGTTTCTTCCACTATACCCATTAGAATTGTCATTGTATACAGCATATCCTAACAGAGAGCCATGTATCGTATAGCATTACTCTATTTTTTGACTGCTGTTTTTTGCAAGATAGTTAACCTTGAAATTATTTAGTCATAGTGGAAGCACTTTTCCATTTTTCCAGTGGCCTTTATTATAAAACAATTTCTCATTAAAGCTTATGTTCATCTGAGTTTTGAACAATCATATAAAGATAAGCATCGCCGGAAAATTAAAAAATAAGATCAAATAACAAAATCGACTGAGATGGAATTGTCATCGGATGACTGGGTAATGTCAGGTAATCTACATTATGTATCGCAACCATTTTTTATCGAAACGAAAGTCATATATGGAAGTAAATCTTCAACAATTGGAATAACACATTATAAATGAAGCAGAAAACTACGGTAATGTGCTTCTAATGAATGCTGATTTTTCCGTGCAAAAGCTTGTCGCAGACGTTAGGTGTAGGAGGTTCCTTTCCATTTTTTCAATTGAATTAAATTGAATTTATTTTACGCAGAGTTAGGATATCAGATATCACAAAAAAAGTACAAAAAAACTTATGTCATCCGTGAATTCCTTGTGATAACCCCAAACTAAAAGCTTTAATCTATGACGAGTCTGGTCTATACATAAATAGTAAAATAAATACTAGTCATGCACACTTTGTTGTTATGTGTGAAATTATCGAAAGCCTGCATGGTCTTTCAACATATTTTTAAATACAGATAAAGAAGACTGACATGCTAAGACAAAAAGTAGTTGATTCCAATATTTTGATGTTCGTGGAAGGAAGGAGCTCGATGCAGATTTTGACTTCAAACGAGGAATAAACACACGATTGTTATGACCTAATCGAGAACTTTAACGCGTTGTTAGCGGTGAAATTAAACCAAAAAGGGGAGATATCATATTTCATATTTTAACAATAAGCTATTTAATCTAGTATACCATTTGATAGATCCCATTCTGCAACTTCTTCTAAGAAGCTTTTCAGTTCGTTTTTCTAGTGTCCAGAATATTGGAACTATAATACCGCTGTAATCTATGGACGCCATACTATTCATGCCCGAAAACCGTTTTTTGGAGGATTCACATACGGCACTGGAACGGGTTTTCTGGAAATCTGTTTTTTGAAGTTCACTTAATATGAACGTCCTTCGAGAAAAACGACAACAGTTTTTCTCATTGCATTTCGGAGCTTTGAAGCATTATTTTTTTGAATCTGCATTGCAAAATGCATATGAAAATGTAGTTTGAAAGTTCCGGCATATTACGAAGTCGACGGGAAAAAATTCGAAGGGTATTGCTAAAAGACGCGAACACCCACGAACAGCTACGAACAGCCACGAACACCCCCAAATTAGAATCTGAGTTAGCCAATCGATAGAGCTCGTCGAGCTGAGTATAGCAATGTCTAACGAACACCCAAAAAACTTTTTATAGTTTCGCTTTTTAAGCATACATTTTGAATGAACACCCACGAACATCCACGAACACCTACGAACACCCAAAGAACACTCACGAACACAAAGAAAAAAGGTTAAGAACACCCAAAAAAGTGTGCCAAATTCA